CGAATTCGAAGAGGCCAGCAATTGTATCCGTGTCAGCGACGATGGCGACTGGGTCATGAGCACCGGCACTTATAAGCCCCAAATCCACGTTCACAACCTTTCCGAATTGTCACTCTCCTTCGCTCGCCATACGACTTCCCTTAACCACAGCTTTGTTCTCCTCTCCCCCGACTACTCCAAATCCCTACATCTCCAGATTGACCGAAAACTCGAGTTCCACACACCCATGGGCTGCCACTATGAAGTCCGTCTCCCCCGATACGGTCGAGATCTGAAATACGATCGGCAATCAACAGAAGCCCTCATTCCGGCGGTCGGACTCGATGCAGACGGGAAGGGCGAGGTCTTCAGAATGAATCTGGAGCTTGGGCGGTTCATGCGATCGTACCAAGTTGATGTCGGTGGTGATGATGAGACGACGGGGGGCGGCCTCCAAGGTGGAATTGGAGTCGGCAGTGTCAACACTGCTGCCATTGCAGAGGAGACACACAATCTACTGGCTTTCGGTACTTCGATCGGAACCGTTGAATTCTGGGATCCGCGCTCCAAGGCCCGGGTCGCCCTCCTTGCTGGTCACGAGGGGGAGGTCACTGCGCTGGATTTCAGTTCAACTGGTTTGTCCATTGCAACGGGATCCTCAACTGGAATGATGCAATTGTTTGATCTCCGTAGACCGACGCCGCTCCTGAAGAAGGATCATGGGTATGGCTTCCCCGTCAAGAAGCTCATTCATATGACCACCTCCTCCCAGGAGAAGAAGGTTTTGTCGGCCGATAAGCGAATAATCAAGATCTGGGATGAGGCAGACGGTACTCCTTGGACGTCTGTTGAGCCGGTGGTGGATATCAACGATGTCGCATGGTGCAAGAATTCGGGCATGCTCCTCACAGCCAACGAAGGCAAGCAACAGCATGCCTTCTTCATCCCTCAACTCGGTGCAGCACCGAAATGGTGCACATTCCTCGACAACATGGTGGAAGAAATGGCCGAGGAAGTTCGAACCGAAACCTACGACAACTACAAGTTCCTTACGCTCCCAGAACTCAAGCAACTCAGCTTGGCCCATCTGGTCGGCAAGACAAATCTTCTCCGGCCTTATATGCACGGTTACTTTGTGGCCTCCAAGCTTTATGAGCAGGCAAGATTAATCGTGAACCCATATGTTTGGGAAGAAGAAAGGATGAAGCGCGTGAAGGAGAAGGTTGAGAAGGAGCGCGCGACTAGAATCAGAGGCAACAAGAAGGTCAAGGTCAATCAGAGACTGGTTGACAAGCTCCTCAGCAAACAGGCCAACAGAGAGGAAGTGGACACCAAGGCCGGCCTGTTGGGAGACGATCGATTCAGCAAGATGTTCGAGGACGAGGAATTCAACGTTGATGAGACAAGCAAGGAATTCCGAGCGCTCAACCCAAGCACTTTTATTGAGACATCAGCTGAGGCGCAACCTGTCGCACGATATCAGGGCAAGGACTCTGACGAAGAGGATAGTGAGAACGAGGAAAGCAAAAATGCCATTCGGGCATCAAGACGCACGGACGTTATCTCCATGCATGTCTCCTCGACGCAAAATGGCGGTGGAAAAATCAAGGACACATCACTGGGGTCGAGAAGAGCCAAACCGGCTCGGGACAGGTCACAGCGCGGCGATGTTGGGGGTGAGCGACAAGTCACATTCATGCCAGCATCGCAGAGAAAGAACAAGCAGGCGGAGGAGCCAGAGGCTCCGAGGAGAAAATCAAATAATGCCAGAAGGAGTGCCAGCTCCAACACATTTAGGAAGATGTAAGCGTATAGACTTTACCGCAAGATACAATATTTACAACCTGATATACTCCAAAAGCTCCCAAGAATAACGTCAGTGTTCGCCTCCAAACTCATGACACATTGCTCCGTGATCACCGCTCAATCCAATTCCTTCTCTCGACTCATATTGCTATTTACTTATTTCCCGGGCCACCTAGGGCCTTTGCTCTTCACCTCTGACTTGGCCATGGCCTTTTCGATATCCTCTGGACGCAGCCGTGGGGTTGGGGGAACATCTGCAAGTCTGGCACGCGCTCGATGGGAGGAAATAGGACCATCCTTGACATAGTCGGGGAACTCAGTTCGCCTGGGTGTGAGCGCTGTCTTCACTTTGCGTGCTGATCGTCTGAGGGTCTCTTTCATTGTCCATTCCCGCCTCTTAGCGATGAAAAATAGCGTCGCCATCGTAGCTATCCAAGTGTATTAGCATTGCTCAACCAAGACATTGCGGGATAGAAACTCACCACCCAGTATCGCCACAATGACAATTACTACTATGATCGCAATCATCCCTCCTGTGCTCAAGACGGGCCCGGAGCTCGAGCTAGAGCCGGAGGCACCCTCATCACTTCCGCCGTATGTGGATTCATCCCCAGTTTCGTTTGCCAGAGGAAAATTGTTGGAGCCCATGGTGAGTACTTTGGTATGGTTGAATATATTATCAAATTTGTGCTGGTATAGTATTAGGAGTGTGCAGAAGAAGGATCAAAAGTTACAGGACCAAAGAGAACGGGATAGACAGACTCGGGTATAATAACACGCACGGAGGTCTCACGAACTAACCCAAATCCATGGCCGCCCCTCCATCCGAGTGTGTGACTACGCTGTGATCGGCCCCTCCCCAGTACTGTTCTTGCCGCCCAGCAGCCTGCATGATCCTCTTGAAATCGCACCCAGATGGAGACTTACACGGTGTGGTTGCAGAGTCACACCCTGAGGCTCGTTGATTGGTGTGCGAAGCGCCGGGCCAAGCTGGGTTCGTAGCCAATGGCGTGGCAGAGCACCTGCAGAGCGCACAGGCCTGCCCCTGTCGCTAAGCTGTGACGGGCAATTTTTAGGCTTTTGGGGGGCGGACTATCGCAGAAGCGTTTGCGACTTCTGCCGAAGCGTTTTGGGGGCCCCTGCGTCGAATGTCGCACGATGGACCTGATTGGACTCGAGGGCGTCGTTGACAGAAGCCACTTCCGGCAAAGAGGTTGCAGAGGCCCAGCCAGATGCGGGCGAGAGTCGACGTGCGGCCGGGGTGGCTGACAGCTGGCATCGGTTGTATCATCGCACAGAGCGGCTACAATCCAGCCAAGACCTGCCAATACCCCCCAATGCCTACCAAGGGGCTTGGTTTCCCAGCTCTACCCCGTTTTGCTGAGAAATCATCCTCCAGACGAGATATCTATATCGTGGGCGGCACGTAGCGTGTTTGAGGAACCGCTTATCTGGTTAAAAAAACGAGAATAGATTCTCTTGCGAGATCGCATGAAGCTTCTTCTACCTAGCGCCTATCCGGGGTCATATAGCCTATGGCCCGCCTATCTCTTTGCAAGAAAGAGCAGAATCTTTCTTGTTATCAATAAAAAAAAAGGAAACAACAACCAGCAAATGCTCTAGCTAGGTACCTACCCAGAGGGATGCTAGACGTGATCTTTGTATCTGGGAACCTGTCTGGCGGATAAGTGCTTCCATGAGATAGGTAGACAGGCAGCCCGTCCGCATCAGCAACGACGATCAACGGTCCAATATTGGTCGGGATGCGACGCCAAGAATATTCCACTTGAAGCGATGCTATTTGGCGCCCAGAGATGAAGGGGGCAAAGTGGGCGGGCAAACAAGGAGGTGAGCGCTCGGGTGCTCCTGCCTTCTCGCTTCCCGCGATATCATCTTCTATACCTAGTCATGGCAGGCACGCTTGGAACTACCTGCCACCTCAAGGCTCGAGAATCACCAGTTTTGTGCCTACCTACCTACCTTGCCTCTGTAAAAATCCGTAAAATCCAAACTTAACAGCCAGCAAAGTCTCAAACCAACTACCTACCTGAATACACCATTCGAATATTGAACCTCTCCTCCTTGTTGCTTGTTTCCACCCGTGAACTTTGACCTGATATGTCACTGCAATGTCTGCAGCACTTCCGAGCCCAAGACTACAGCAAGCTAGGAATTTAGAGCGGCTGTCTCCGCGTTACGACGAGAATAATGATGGGGAAATGGCCGCCGAACCTCAGTTAGCAGCTGTTCAAGGAGCCAAGTACCCAGCCGTCACAGGAACAATCACTCCTGAGCGATTTCTAAAGAGCCTTTCCCACTCTAACACGATGCTTTCCGAAGCCGACCTCAGTGGAAGCTTTAGGTTTGAAAACAGACAACCAAACCGCGTCGGACAGTTTTCCGATAGGCCTCAGAAGCATGTTCAGAATAATCATCTGGGAGGACCTGTGCCATCACCGCAGTCAACAAATGTTCGCGCCTTGAACGGTAGTACAAACGAGCAACAAAGCACAAAGCCGAAATCAAAGGAGCCATTTGATTTACCCGAATTGATCTTCTACGATCCAAAGGAGTCCAACCGCAATATAAATGGACCAGTTCCAAACTCTACGAGTACGATAGTCCCGAACATCGTGTCTGACGTCTGCGAGGTCGCCCCTATAGAACCACCCACGATGAAAGCAAAGGATCAATGCACCACATCTCCTTTATTTCCTGTCCAAATAGACGCGCCTCTGAATAAGGAGATAGATATTCGAAAGCCCGTTCTGCTGTCATCTCCTCATCAAGGGAAGCCCATACAATTCGAAGATTTAACTTCTATAAGTTCGCACCCTTCAATTGCCCGAAAGGACAAGAGTTTATTTCGTGACAACACTGAATTAGATGCCCACAAAGCACCAGTCAAGTCACAGGCTCGCGAAGCATCGCCACACCTTGACCATTCTCGGAAATACCACCATCGTCAGCAATCCTTTGGCAGTAGATGTGGTGATCTGGAGGAGCCCCGGTACCAAAGGCCAAGATGTCACAAGAACGCACCTAGTGCTAGCTCACGAGACGGCTCACGTCGACACAGAGGCTCTAGGAAGTATGCTGAGAGCGCAGGCGAAAAACAAGAACGGTCACATTCGAGAACCAGCAACATCAGTAGAAAAAGAAGCGCTGTGTCAAAACCCCCACCCCGCCGGGAGTCTGGTCGCAAACACGAAGCCATGCAGCAACTTGCCCAGTACTGGAATGAGTGTTTGAAAATTGCTGAAGAAGAAAAAGCGGAAGCAAATGAAGAAATTGAGCGGCTACAAATCGAGATGAGAAGTCAATCCCGGAAGCTCGAGGAGGCGCGGCTTCGCCTAGGTCAAAAAGAGGTGCAAGTAAATGAGCTCGAGTCTCAAAATGCAGAACTGAAAGAGCACGACGATGGCACTATCAGTCAAAATGCCAAGTTGACCGAGGAAGTAGATGAGCTACGCAAGGAACTATCAGATTCCAACACTAAGATCTCTCATCTGGGAGAAAAGTGCAAATCATTCAAGGATAAAATAAATGAAGTGTTAACAGAGCAGCAGACTCTATATGGACAAGTTGAAGCTTCTTTTCAAGCCGCTGTCACAGAACTTGAACGAGAAAAGGCCAAGCGTGAAACTGATGTCAAAGAAATCGACAGCGCTCTCGATCTCTGCGAGAAGAAAAGGGAAGAGATGAAGAGAGAATTCGATGATATACATGCTCGAGATCAATATGAGATTCAACAAAGTATGTTACGTCCTCAATCAATAAATCTTGAAGCAGCTAACTCCTTGGCAGGCAAACAAACGATTTCGCTCCTCACGAATGAGATAAAAGCCCAGCACGAAGAGGCCATGGCACGAGAAAAGGATTTGGCTGAGAACCTACGAAGGCAAAACGATATACAGTATCAAAATGGGCAGGAGAAGCTGCAACATGTGGAATCTAAAGTTGATCTCGTTCTTGACGCCTGTAGACAACGTTTCCAGAAGGAAAATGAAAACAGTGCGCCAATTGCTTCCATCTCAGACAAGTAAGGTCACAACCTCAGAAATTCTGAAATGGACCACTACTAATTTAGACATCTAGGATCGATCTTGTCGTAGATGTCATCGGATCTACACCTAGCCAAAACCAGCAAAAACTATTTGAGACCATGAGATCCGCCATCGAACCAATTGCACAAGAGCTTGAAACCCGAATTGTGTCCCAGTAAGGTTTCCACACCCTCGAAACGCAGTGACATCAGCTGAATAAAGTCAGAATATCTTCAAGAATAGATGGAGAGTTCTCCAAGTATGATGAGCTTGAGAAAACTATTTCCAAGTTTGCACAAGCCTTTCAAGGCGAGCTCGCCAACATTACAAAGGCCATATCTTGGCAGCTTGAAGCGAGGGTTGAGCAAACATCTAACACTGACCATTTACACAATACAATTGTCGAATACCTCAAAGATATGAAAGACGGAATGAATTACACTAAGGAACTGTGCGAGGGTACACGGAACGTTCAGCATGAACTAAACCAAGTCGTGCATAATGCTTTGTTATCTACCACTGAATCGGAGAGAGATTGCCTTACGAGAAAGATCGAAGAGAGAGATTTGAAGATAAACGATCTCTGGCAGCAACTCATTTCTCTAAAAGACGATCATTCTGCCAAATTGGAGGCTTTTAACACCAAGGAGACGGCACAGGAACAGACAATCATCACACAACTATTCAGGGACAATCTACATCACATCGGCCAAAGCTTACAACAAGAATTTGAAAGAGAGAGACAAGAGTTTTCTGAAAAGATGAGTCATGGTGAAAAAGCAAACGAAAATCTTCGAGCACAAATCCAAGAAGCAATCAGCAAGATTATTGAGCTGAAAGTGTCAGGATCTCCAGATGCAGAGAAGTTGGAGGAGGAGCTCCAGGGGGAAAGGCATTCAGTTGCCTCGCTGACTCGCAAGATTGGTAATTTGGAGCAGGAACTTAAAAACACTGAAATGATTCGAGGTCAATGGCACCAGGGTCTCACATCAGTCAATACCTTCAGAGCTAAGCTCGAGGCGGTTGCGCAGCGTCTGCCAAAAGTCGAGGCAATAGCCGCAAAATTGAACGGAATCACACGCCTGAACGAAGTTATAGACTCAACTTCGAGATTTTTCGATGCTGAAAAGCAATGGCTCAAAACAGAGCTGTCTGGAAGAAGCAAAGTTGGAGAATCGAATCCTGACGATCAGCTTGGCTCTAACATGATCATTTCTTCGGCTTCTCAAGATCCAATCTTGAAACTCAACAGCCTTGCATTTCCGCCAGAACTTTTACCAACTAGTCGAAAAGTGGAGAGTTTGATCGAAGAAAACTTGCATGCAGAAGATGCATCACGCCGGAAAGTGCTGGTTTACAGCCCGACTGGTGACTCTGAGTCTCCGTCACCCCCTCCATCAATTGGCCAAGAACAAAAGCGCCGGCGAGAGGCTGTAAGGCCACGGTCCATTCTTAGGTCTTCGAAGGAACTTTTACAGAAAATGCAAGCTTCCCAAAGGAGCGAGTTCCGCGGCAACCCCATGCATGGTAGCCAATTCAATCGCCCAGTGGTGGCGGATACTACACCAGGATGTGGGAACGATATGGCAAATAAAATAATAAACGACCTTCAATCGACTTTAGCTCCTCCACCCCGCTTCCAACATGGTTGGGAGTTTCCTACCGTAGCTGAATTTGAAGAGTCTGTTCGGCTCGGCAGCCGGAAGCGTGAATGCGAATTTGAAGTCTGCGACAACTTTGAAGATCACAACAAGAAGATAAAGGGGAACAACACAGTCATATCTTCTGAATCCGATCGTCCCGGGAATGTGACAGTCTCGCCACAAATTTGAGAAAGTCACAAGAGGCAATAATCAAGCCTGCCCTCTATCAATGCCACTTTCGAGGACACTATCCAAGAACATCTACACAGATGGCTAAGAAAGAAAAAATACCGCGAGATTTTGGAAGAGGGAGATGGTAATATAGGATCATCGCAAGGGTGATCATCAGGTGGGATCAGTACGATCAATTTCTTGAGTCGAATTTATGCTCTGCGTGGAGAGAGAATGTCTTTCGCATTTTGGAATGGAGCCATTCACTTCGTGGATGGTTGACACACTTCCCTTGCAACCAAAATCTCAGATTTAAGCTGGGAATGAAATATTGCGATCGTTACTATCAGATAATATACAGTGTTGATTCATTCGTGTTCAAGTGTAGTGCAACAAAAACCCAAAACTCCGAGGATGTTGATGTGTTGATACAAGAACGCGCCTCCTTGAGAAGCCGTCGACTGGTTGCCAATTATTCCGCCACCCTGTGTCGAGTCTTCTTGTTCTATTTCGTCGAGCTGATAACCATGGGCTGGGAGCACTATCTGGTTCGCTTTTTCGTCTCGAGGAAAAGGACCTTCTTGCGGACTATTCCGGTGAGTGTCAGTAAGAATATGATCTCGCAGTCCCACCAGAAAAAAATCGGTAATCAATATTCGAGGTATAACTGACCGATTGGATCGTATTTGAGAAGGCCCATTGGCGAGGACGTTCTGGGTCGTCGCATGGTGTAGAAGAAGCCAGTCATGGCCATCGACACCAGCCGGACGATGATGATTCGATTCTTGACTAGAACGGATGTTTGTGAGTCAAACAAGATCAGAAAGAAGTACGGCGTTGGCACTCACCTTTCTTAGCCATGATTGTTGATTCGTAGTCCCAGGATATCTTGGAGCTCAGCCGAGAGTCGCTCAGTGCAGCAATCGCTGCATTCAAAATTCGAGACGGGTGATCAACGCGGCCAATTATTTTGCCGGGATCCGGCAAGGTGAGGCTCCCTCACCTAGCGTCACCGAGCTACCCACCTTGGCTGGTTGTACCACGATGACAACCCGTGAACCCTGATAGGCCGATCTCAAAGGATGGAAACACAAGATTGGGATTGTTTTACGATATTCAAACGAGCTTGATGATTGATAAATACATGAACTAATCGTATTTATCCCTTTGACTTCCCAAGACCAGCGATTACAGGATAGTGGCCGGAGATAAGGTATCGACCAAGCCTCCGACTTATCGGAGCCTTCCTACAGGGGTTTCTCATCATATTTCTAGCTGGAGTGCCGGTGTGGCTTTTGTTCAACAGCGCAGTTCTCGTCTTCCCCTCACAGAACCGGATACTTGCCTGGTCATTGATGCAGCCGTGTTGCATCGCTGTTCTTACCATCTCCGAAAATTCCCTGCCTTAGTCGTAGTTCGCATACGGCCAGAGACCTCACCACATGTCGGCCGGTCTCAACATCGCCTCGAGGGGCAACCGGGCACTCTCGAGCAACAGCTCTAAACTGCTGGACATGCCACAGTCAGGTATGTCTGCTGTCGCTGCAGCCAAGTCTGGTGGTTGAAGGATGTAGCATGGTGCTCTGGGGATACTCCCTGTTCCCCGCGCCGAGAACAAAAAGCTAGGCAGATCTATGAATGGTCCGTCATGGCAATTGAGTTTGGGCGGCAGAATCCATGCTGTGCATTCAACCCCTGATTCCGCAGAGATCTTCTTCTTCCCGTCGCCACTATCTATCCCTTCCCCAGTCCGTCAGAGCCCGCGCGCAACAAGTGTCGTTCGAGTGGTGCTCTGCCCAGCAAAGCCCCTTCCTACCTAGCCTAGCCTCGAGCAGCTCGGTATACAACCGAGCAGGGTCCTCGTTCCGATCTCGGATGAAGCCGACCTGGATGCGCCGGGCCTGGCACAAGCCGTGGTCCTCCTCCGAACCATCCCATCCAAACGTCCAACCCCCAAACTGCGCTCCCCATCATGCCACAAGCGATATCATGATCGCCTGGCATCCCCCGGCATCTACCCGGGGCCCAGGGGGGTGAAACGGGTAAATGGCATGAAAACAGGCGTGTCGTGTCACGCGCACAATGGCCCCAATGCTCTACATGGCCTGATTTGTCACGATCTTGCATGTTCTCCAAGGCTCATCTCGCCCACGGGGTTCAAGGACAGCCAGTAGGAACAGGTGCCCTCTTCCACTGCGTGCACTGCGTTTATTATATCCCTCCCTAGCCGATCCTCGCCGTTCCCTACCCCCCACCCCACCATAGCGAGCCGTGCATATAGCCATGACAGCATGATATTGCCTGCGAAGGCAGTTGCAGGTCTATATGAACGCCAGGCCCGCTATCGTCTGGACTGCAGTTCCCATCTAGCCTGCATTGCCGCAAGGGAAAAAGAAAAGAAACAATTCTGCTCGGCCGTATCTTTATCTTGCTCTGTTTTTTCGCTATCTTCCTTATCGCAGACCTCCCCTCCCCCGCCTGTGCTGCTAGAATATTAATAGGCAGTTGGTTAACGTATTCTTCGTGCAACCCAATTAGCCAGTGCTCTCCTTTACCAACACAGCAGAAGACCCTTTCTTGCTACCCCGCCAAAAATCACTTCCCACCAACAACCCCGCCATCGCCGGTCCTCCAACATGCCCAGGCTCACCGTCGACAACATCAACCCCCACGTTCGCGCGGCCAAGTATGCCGTCCGTGGCGAGCTGGCCGTCAAGTCCGAGCAGTTCCGCGCTGCTCTGAACAAGGGCGAGGGCGGTGACCTACCCTTCGACCAGGTCATCTCGGCCAACATCGGCAACCCCCAGCAGCTGGACCAGAAGCCCATCACCTTCTTCCGACAGGTTACCAGTCTGCTGGAGAACCCCCAGCTTCTCGAGAAGGAAGATGTCTTGATCAACCACCTCGGCTACAAGACCGACGTGATTGAGCGTGCAAAGTGGCTCCTCAAGAGCGTCGGCTCCGTCGGTGCCTACAGTGCCAGTGCCGGTGTTCCAGCCATCAAGGAGAGCGTTGCCAAGTTCCTCGAGGGTGAGTGACTTCCAAGAATGCAAATTCTCTTCAATTGGGTGTCTTTCTCTAACATTAGTCGATATACAGAGCGTGACGGCTTCCCCGCGAACCCTGCCAACATCTACCTCTCCGCCGGTGCCTCCTCCGGCGTCAACACCCTCCTCCACACCATCTGCGCCGCTCCCAACACCGGTATCCTGATCCCCATCCCACAATACCCCCTCTATACCGCTACCCTCTCCGTCCTTGACGCCACCTGCGTCCCCTACTACCTCGATGAGGCCAAGAACTGGGGTACCGACCTGAACACCATCCGCAGCGCATACGAGAAGGCCAAGGCCGATGGCATCGACGTGCGCTGCATCGTCATCATCAACCCCGGCAACCCCACGGGCGCCTCCCTCCCCGAGGAGGACATCCGCGCCGTCCTCGAGTTCGCCAGCCAAGAGAACCTCGTCGTCATGGCCGACGAGGTCTACCAGACCAACGTCTTCGTTGGCAAGTTCCACAGCTTCAAGCAGGTCCTCCGCAAGCTGCAGCAGGAGCAGCCCGGAAAGCACGACGGCGTCGAGCTCGCCTCCCTCCACAGCATCTCCAAGGGCATGGTCGGCGAGTGCGGCCACCGCGGCGGCTACTTCGAGCTCGTCGGCTTCGACCCGGAGGTCGAGGCCAACATCTACAAGTTCGTCTCCATCATGCTCTGCGCCCCCGTCATCGGCCAGTGCCTCGTCGAGGTCATGGTCAACCCCCCCAAGGCCGGCGACCCCTCGTACGAGCTCTACAGCCAGGAGTACAACGGCATCTTCGAGGGCCTGCGCCAGCGCGCCACCGCCCTCCACAAGGCCTTCTCCGAGATGGAGGGCGTCGAGTGCGGCGAGCCCCAGGGCTCCATGTACCTGTTTCCCACCATCACCCTGTCCGCCAAGGCGGGAGAGGCCGCCGCCGCCGAGGGCCGCACCCCGGATGAGTTCTACTGCATGCGCCTCCTCGAGGCGACGGGCATCTGCGTCGTGCCCGGCTCCGGTTTCGGGCAGAAGGAGGGCAGCCTGCACTTCCGTACCACTTTCCTGGCCCCCGGCACCGAGTGGACTGGGAGGATCGTCAAGTTCCACAAGGAGTTCATGGAGCAGTACCGGTAGATGGCAGGCAAATTAAACAGGCATGGGATATATCAAAAATAGAGGGATAAGCGTAGAGGATGAGAAAAAAAAGTAACTAAATGGTAATCCGATTCCATATATATGTTGTGCTTCGAAGTGATGTATATTTCAAGTGATATTTTTCTAAATAAAGTGTTGAAAATAAAGCATTTACAGTAGTAGACACATGCACCCAAACTTGATGATGTCCTCAGAGTCCGGGGGATCTCTTCTTCAACACCATAGAAGCCGATTTGAGGCGCTATGCATCGCAGATTCACGGCATATTCTACTTTGACGAGGCGGAGGTGCAAAAGAGTTGCTAAGATTAATGTGTCTATACTTGGATGTAGAACATGGTTCTATTGGTGACATAGTAGAAAATGTTCCCCGTTCCTTTTTTTGACCTCAAAAATGTATATAGCTACCCCGTCGCAGAGCACAGCGGAAGGATTTTAATTATGCCCTCTCACTTCCTCTCAGTCGGACAGCCTGGCCGTACTTTTGAAGCTTCGTTATAAGCTGGTCTCCCTGGCGAACGACATCCTGGTACTGCTTGTTCTTGTCGTCTGGTCGGTTTGTCTCGATTACTCCTTTACCATTCACACGGTCGATTGTGCAAGGAATTCGCCCAGCGGCAATGAAGCGAGCCAAATCACTATTTTCAAAAGTCAGTTTCATTCTCGTCTCAGTCTTCTGGTAGGCGGATGGACTCACCGATCAAGGAACTCGACTGTGACCCCAAAGTCATTAGCCATGCTGTCAAGTCCAACAACCCGGTAGCTCTGAAGTAGCTGCTGGTAGGCCCGGAGCCGCATTTCTCGGATGAACCAGTTCTTGTGCTCATGGAGATAGCGGTCTTGGGTAAGGAACTGCTCTTCAACAGAAGCAAGCGACTGGAAGAACGTCTTGTAGTTACCATTGTAGAGACTGCTGACCAAGAGGGCCAAGGGGCTGAAATCAATCGCTGCCTCGGCCTCTGGGTGATCAGTACTCGTGCCAAGGGTGGTCAGGTTCACAGCTGTCGTCGTAGCCGCCTTAGGGGTATCGACACCGGTTGTGTCATCTGCACCTGGCCCAGCGCTGATTGCGCCGCTCAGAGCAAGAAGCTTATCTTCACCATCTCCCAAGATCGCCTTAATCTCTGGAGCATCAACAACCTTGGACTTGAAGTCTACTCGCTTCAGGGACACAGAGCCCGCAAGCACGGAGTAGACAACGAGGTTTGAGTAGGTGCAAAGCTCGTAACTGGTGAATGTGGAGAGAGAGTCGAGAAGGAGGGGTGCAGCGAGGTTATAGGATCGTACAGTGAGAAGGTGAAGACCCTCGTAGGTCTTGAGTCGGTTTCGTCGGTCCCAATCACCACCGCTATCGACAAGGGCCTTGGCTCGCTCAACATGCTTCTTTACAAGAGGCTTATCTCCGTAGAAAAGCGCCATGCGGACGATGGCCAGGACAAGATCGATCTTGGCTCCCAGAATACCAGTGTTCTCGAAAACACTTTCGTAGGCGGCAATAGCTTTATCCTGCAGGTTGTTAGCAACTCATGGCCGTTTAGGTCAGCAGCGGTGATTTATACCTTGTCTCCCACTCGAGCCCAGAACTCAGCCCGCTTGCCCTTGGCAGCAATGATCTCTGTATCGCCAGCCTGCTCCTCGGCTTCTGCTTCCTCCTTCTGGAACCCGTCAAGCTCCTTCTCGTTCTCCTCTGTCAGCTTTGCGTAAAGGGCTTCGTCCCATGGCAAGTTGACGGCTGACACTGGCTGTTTGGTGGCAACCATCCCCACGAGACTGGACTTCCTGCTCAATGGTTTGCCCGGCCCCGACGAACCACCCTCGCCCACTGCGTTGAGGATGCCGTCGATGGGGTGTGCTAGGTATCGGTAGAACGGGGCCATCTTATCCTGGGCGATGGCATCTTGAAGGGCCTTGACAGCGACTTGTTGGGCCGCCCGCGAAGCATAGCCGTTTGTGAGGGTGAAGACGTGCTGTGACAACGGCAGCAAGGGCCACTTGGCGTACTGTGGATCTGAGCCCATGGCTGCGGTCGGCGACTTAAACGAGACTCTTCTGTAGGTGGCTGATTGATCAGGTCTCGTAGAATATCCCTAGGGCAGGAGGGTTGCAGGCAGGGTTGAGGTCGGCTCGTTGGAAGCTATGAGAGGCAGCTGGTGATGATGCGAGGTCCAAGCTGATCGGAGGGCTTCTATCACGATTGGGCTGAGTCTCGCCATCTAACTGGCTGGAGCCCCCCAGGGTGGATCCTTCCCAGGGCGAGGCAAGCGAGGCTTGAGCTACAGGCTGCAGCGCCGACGACGACAGCCAGGAATGCTGCTTATGTAAGAACAGAGCTTGGTTTGGCAAGTGTGCTCGAGATCAATCTCCCAATTCTCCCAGCTTACCCTATATCATACTCCTACCCTACGTCATCTCTAGCCTTCTCGCCCTCTGGCTCTGACACGATTAAACTATGTCCAGTAGGAACCATGTTGGTCGTTATCTCAACCTCGACTGATGCTCCAGCCAGCTCGCCAGCAATAATGCCTGATCATTCATGCTCATGCTGAACCGAGCCACTATGGCTTTGCTCAATTGTCTATCTTGAGGGCAACAGACACGCGATGGCTCTTAGAGAACCCCTTTTTGGGCTCATATTTCATCTAGACCTCGCTTGGAGGCTTTCCTCCTGGTTGTTCTGTCCAGCACGAGTATCCACGCCATACCAATAAAGATCTGCAGAGCCTGCTCCGAAGTTTACCGACTTGGCCCTCAACCTTTGGGAGTGCTATTGGAACGCTTACGTGGGAGGTATGCCCAAATGTCCACTTCAAGCATTGTCGATAGACATGTTGTACCCAATTGTCTAGATCGAGGTCTATGCATTAGGAGACTAGCCCCAGAAGTCACCGACAATACTAAATGGTTATCAAGTTGTGCCCTTTTCACAAGCGTTCAGGGTAAGACAGGCGGGAGAACTCATGAGCGCTGACTGAAGGAGCTATGTGAGATTTGGGAATCTTAGACTCATGCAACTAACTTCCCACGCCTTGGCAACAATGCCGTCTCTTGGCGTGTGGATGTACTCGCCATGTACCGAAGACTTGAGGTACGGCACACTCACTAACAGGCGGGTCGTGCCCTGCAACGATTCAGACGAAAGAGGTCAGCTATCAACACTATGTACATGGACTCTGCCTGCTGAGTGGGGGTGTTCGCTCGTGGGTCCATGTAGGCAGGAGAAGATCAGATGCGACGGGGTGATAGCCCAATCACCAGGCGGGAATCCTGGATGCGCGTGGGAGACAGGATGCTTCCCGGAACACGACTATCGCCCAGTCGCCGACTGCCGGAAGCCAGTCACGAAACAACTCACGAGGACCAACATAAGCGTGCAGATTGGCTCTCCTCAGACCGCATCATAACGGGGCTTTTAGTATGCGTGATGGTCAAGATTGGCCCGACGTGCATATTCTCACACTTGCATATTCGGCGATGGCGAAGTGCATTCATGATGCGTGGCTAGCTGATAGAAAGGCAAATCTAAGTAGGTCGAGACGGGTCCATTGGCATCAGCCACCAACAGCAACGTCGTGATTCGAGGCTTTCCCGAAAAGACAACCCACTTAGCAGACTATCACCAGGACTGTTGCAGACGCAGCGGCGTAGGGTCGTAACCTACCCAGGTGACCTCATACCTGCAAAGACACTGGACTACGCCACGCCTGTGATGAGACCTGCATCAGCGCCATCTATGTATGTTGGCGCTGATGACTTCCTCGATGAGCTGGTTACGGCCGCCCCGGAGGGTTACTCATACGCCCGTTGCGCCCCCATATAGTGTCTCGGAGTGTCAAAACGGGGACAACGTGTAATAGTTGCTGATTCCACTTTTCTTTTCTTTTCCTTGCGCAATCAAACCAGGCCCAACTTGGGATACAGTGGCTGGCTGGTTGGCTGGCTGGCTGACCGGCTGTCCGACCGGCTGTGGGCTATGATCTTTCCACGAGTACACTTTACTTATCTTTGTGTGTGTGTTGCTTGGCCAAATGGGACGCATCCGACATAGGCAAGCGTCATTCATGTGCAACATTGGACTGCCATGCGGGCCTAGTGTAAGTTGGGGGACTTGGGGGGTTGGATGCTACTTGTCCGAGTTCGCAAGATGGTTCGATTCTTGCCATCTTGTCACCGCTCGGTGCGACAAGCATGAGCAAGTCTCACCTGAAATCACCTGAAAAAAAAAGAAAAGAAAAGAAGCTTGCGGCTGAGAACACCGCCCACGGACCTGCCCAGTGGTCCTCACACGAGAGAGAACAGGGGGACGGAGAACGAGACAGCCGCATATGCTCTCTCTCACTCACTCTGTCTTGTCGGTGACGAGCCGAGTTCCTCGTTCCCTGGTCCATGCCCGATGCGTGCCTGATGCATGCCTGCATCCGGGGTAGGAGTGTTATTTTCTTGGTGCAGGGAGTGATCTTTCAGGGGTGACATGTCAGATGCGGAATCTATGAGATACCGACCCAACGGGACTTTAGAAGAGAAGCTACGGGATAATTCATTTAGCTCAAGCATATTGGAGCAAGGCTTTTGGTGGAGCAAGATGGAGAAAACCCCCTCCTCCTCGTTTCTGGCTGTGGTCTAGATCTGTGCCCACACCGCCATGAGCATGGCGGACGACGTTGGGAGGAGGGAGACAACGTCGTGCTTGGACGATGGACGTCGAATCACTTTGTAGGGCTGTCTAGTCTCCCTGTTTGCGCGAATTCACGACGTCTGGCAACGGTGATAGTCGGGACCCATGTGACCAGCCTCGTGAGATGTGACATTGGGGCTTCCCTGTAACAATGTACACAGTCAAGCAAGGTTGGAGACAGCCGAACACAACAAAGACCATGTCCCCAAACTACAGGGTTCTTCTTTCCCCATCCACCACATGGGGGAGGGCGGTGGGCAATGCGGATAAGGGAAGAGGGGGGGAGGAGACTTCCTGCACGATGGGAAACCACCGACCGGCGAAAGCGCACACCCCCCTGTCCCCATCGCTCGGCCGACCCTTCGAGGCTAACAGCGGCACGTCAGCCTGCGTAGTACACTCCCGGAAATAGGGAGCGAGGGAGGAAACAGCGCCGGCGCGGATCGGCCGTTGCGGTGATACCATGTAGAGGGGTGTGTGGTCTGCGTTTAATGACGACTGTCCGATGATCAGCTGTACTTGTCCAAGCAACCGTGTAACGAGCTGAGATGACACCCTGCGGCGCGTGGCTTCTGGCTTTCTAATGACCCTTGCTGATCATTATGACTTGTTGCCCTACATCCCGCCCCGGCATGCCAAAGTTGTCCTGGGAGATGGTAGCGGCCGAGGCCAAAATGCATTGGCAAATGCACAATGTCATCATATCTGGTCCTACGGTATTACAGCCCACTGCACTCGCGAGGGACGAAATCATCCCACTTTTTGGGTAATTATATCGTCTTGGGCCGTAGCAGGCCTTTCTACCCAATGGATCCTTGACCGGTGAGGAGCAACCGCCTTTCGCAAGTCAAGTCGTTTCCGGATTGGGTCAACTACATGGCTATTGATGCGGCCAGGGTCAACTATTGGACTGCCAACTACAATCAGATTCTCGTGGAGTTTCATCGATAGACGCTGTTCGGTACGTCAACCGCATCGCATTTCATCATCTCCCGTGGACAGCGTGTTCCATCAATTATACATCTTCTCATTATAATACCACGTTTTGCCCTTATCGGCGGAGGGGAGACAATTCTGCATAGGCCCGATTCCCGGACTGCTACATTCTGGCCAAACTGCCTTGAGCATGTATGAAGCCCCTCAATGAAGTCAGAATAGTACATGCGCTGTGTAGACTGCCGGTTCAAACTCGAAGCTCCCTTTGATATCCCGATCCAATTTAATAAGCGCGCCCTGATTTAACCAAGCCATGATGAAAACAGCAAAAAAAGCAAATAAGGTCATGGACAAAAGGAGCAAAAAGCAAACATGAAACTCCAAACTCGGAACCCAAATAGCCTGTATGATCCTAGAGCAAATTCGTACTGTGATAGCTCGCTTGCAAATAAACCTCAGTGGATGGTTTCGCAGGTTGGCGCTTTCAAAGCCAGTCCTGCAAGTCACCTGCGATCTGGTAGGTTGGGTTCGCAGAATGACCATCGTCGTTCTGCTTGTCCCAAGCCCACCGATCAGCATACTCCTCGGCCAACGCGCCATTCATCATGTCTGCCACGTAGTCGCCAATCACCGGCAGGAATTTCCAGCCGTGGAACGAACCACCAGTGGCCACGAAGAGGTTCTGACAGTGAGGGTGTGGGGTAATCAGGAAGTCATGTGTGGGAGTTGATGCATCCCTGGGAGCCAATGCAAGTCAGCCTAACGCTTGGGGTAATTGGCAGGAACCGGGATATTGACTTACCAGCACATTCTGTAGGCGTCAATCTTCACGTCCTTGACCTCATCGCCGTAGAGGCCGTCAATGGTTCTCCTAGCGCGGTCCTCGAAGTACTTGATGAATTTGCGTCCAGTCCAAACATTGAACGTAGAGCTGTCAGGCGCAATGGACATGCGCTCCCCAGTGGCCGGGAAGTCAACGTAGTTTGTGAAACATAGGTCGCAATTGAACTTGATTGTACCATCGGGAAGGATAGACATTCCCTCGCCTGTATGCAATTAGCATCTGAAACCACCACGGATAAGAAATCCCATCCATTCTAGCATGACGTACCTTTGACCTGTGGGAGGCAGTTCTTCAAAACGGGAAGCCGGCCGAACTTCTCCTTCTGTGCACCATGCACCTTGGCATGGAAGCTAACAGCGCCGGTGGCAATCATCCTGTCGCCGATATGGAGTTTCTTGTTCTTGGGAGCACTCTGGGCAAGAATTGCGCCGGTCCTGGCGCCAGTGGCCAATAGAATCTTGTCGGCAGTGAGAACACCGCCGGTCGTGAGCTCGACCCCGGTACACCGACCGTCTGTGCTGAAAGTGAGGCTTGTCATCTCACCAACGACGTAGTCGACACCATGGTCGATAGCAGCCTGCACAACAGCGCCAAGGGCGTGGTCGGCCTCTGCGAACCCCACATTAGGATTGTACAGGACCTTTTCGACTCCTTCGAAATTGGTGGTTGCGAAGATGCCATTCCACTTCTCCCTGATCTCCTCAACAGACATGAATCTGGAGTTATTGGGGTAGTTGAGCTCTTGGTAAGCAGCCAGGCTTCTCTCACCGAAATCGGTGGGGTCCGCTCTGAGCATGCCAACCTCATGGTACCATCCGGAGTAAAGGGGGTGAGTCCTCCACTTGGGCATGGCATCTGCAAGCATGCGCATGTAAAGGGTGTCGGGATAGTCATCACGGACTATCTTGCTGATATCATGAGATGCAGCTCTGGGGTTGGGGTACTGTGCCGTGTCAACGAGGGTCACCTTGACATCTCCACGTTGAGCATAGGTGAGAGCAGTTGCTGCACCGAA